GGGGCATTTCCCCGCATCGTACCGTGGTATCCCCCCTCCCTTTACTCCATCCCCCCTTGTACCTCCTTTCTCCCGACACTCCCAAATCCATCCCGCTTTTGCCAGAGAAACGGTTGTTTTGGTGAATGAGGAAAAGAAGCAGCAGAAAAGACACGTTGGTGGAGAGAAGGGGCAATTTGCATGAAAAATAGGGACGGATGATTAGGGACCCAGGCAGGGAATTGTGATTGCCCCAGAATTGAAAAAGACTCTGTGTTGAGACCAGGTGAATTGTATCCTGGCGTTCCAAATGTTATATTTGGTTATAAAAGTAGCAGTAATAATAAAAACACCTTTTTTTGGGGGGGGGGATTTTGCATCAGGAGCCAAGTGTTTTGCAAGCGAGCACGGTGCCAGCCGTCTTTTTCCCAGACATTAGTATATATAATTCTTGTTAATTAGCAATAATTTACGTTAAGAGCAGAGAAAACGTTGAGGTTACAGGTTTTATATCTGCACATTTGATCATCTTGTTATTTTCAAGAACTTTGCCTCCTATAAAATTAATTAGGTGAAATGTGGAGGTGTAATCAGCAACCTCGGAATTACCACTTCGTTTCCTGGTTTTGATTGTAAATCAGCCCCGTCGGTGCAGACTTTAAGCAAAGTCCTATTTTTGTTTAGCTCTTACTTTTAACTGTCTGGTGTTGAAGCAGCGGGTTACCTTCCCCTGCTAAATAATACTGACAGCGTCAGGAAGAAATCAGGCCGCGGGAAAACATTATAATTGAGTCATGATTATGCAGAGCTCCTCGCTAAGCCAGTGGTAAGGGGAATCCGGGTTATTCCTTGTGCTGTGGAGAGTTGGTGGAGCTGGAAGTTGCCTTGTGCAAAATACCTTTTGTCTGCCGGCGTGCAGCGAGCTACCGCTGGAATTAAGTCCTTGCAGTCATTTTCCCTCCCTCGCTCCGAACGCAAGGAGGAAAAACGCCATGCCCGGCGATCCCGCAAGGAACACCCTGCTCCTCTCCCGGCTTCCCGAAACGTGTGCCTCTTCCCCTTGTCGCTCTGTGAGTGTAGAGAAGAAAACCCCAGCGATGGAGACATTGTTTTTATTAATACGAGTGTAACCTTCATATTCCTGTGGTTGACCTTATGTTAAATTAGAAGTAGTACTAGAGGCGAGGAATGATGGGCTCGGATCCCCGTGTCCTAGTTGGGGCTGAGGTACAGCGAGGTAGCGTGCTCTTTCAGTATTATTTTACACGGCACAACTGGGAGCTACTCCAGATCTTCCTCCTCAATATTGAGCCGAGGAAGGGTTGGAATAAATTTAACCTGAGTTCAGTGGATTTTTTGCACTTTATCAAAATCAGTTCCAATATCGCGCAGTCAAATTAAAATCTATTTTTTGATTCTCTGTGGCTTTAAGTTCATTAAATGGGAAATTGGCAGCCAGCTAAAGAAGGTCAGGCTGATTAACTGTTTAGGAGGTGTATTCCGTCTCACTCGTGGTTACCTGGCAGTGTTTTGAGGCGGGTTGGATTTGTAGCCCCCTCTCCCTCTGCTCGCCGCTGTTAGCGTGTTGTCTTGCAAAGAGAGAGCAACACCAACATGCTCCTGCTACTGGGTATTTTTTCCCTCATGGAAAGCGATAGGGATGGAGACTGCACACAGATTTCCAAGGTGTTTCTCTGCAAACTTAACCCCCCAAAATTAATAACCCAACAGAAAAGAGCCGCGTCTGCCTCGTTAGAGCATCCACTGCCGATCCCGTGAGCAGAAACAGCTTCATAACGAAGCTTTTTGGAGCTCATTCAGAAAACCTGTCAACTTTGACAACATTAGGCAAAGGTATTTCAAGTTTAAAGAAGGCCCTTCGTGCTGCTGCGAGGAAATGAGGCAGGCGCTTGGCCGTGCTGATTTTTAGATGCTGAGGCCCACCGGTGCTGAGAGAATTTGAACATTCCTTTATTTCAGCATGAAAAAAAGGCAAAGCCTGACAAATTGCCTTCTTAAGTACTAAAAAATATCCCACCTGGACAATACCTTTAGGTGGACTCGGTGGTGAATTTGGTATTCATTTGGGGAGCAGCTGAGGAGTGCGAGGTGCCTCTTCTTGCCCCGCAGGCGCTTCTGCTGCACTTGCTTTTTATCACTTCGGTTTCTGCCGTCTATCTATTATGTATTTATTTGTCTCATCCCTTCCCTACCCTCCCCAAATAACCCCTGGCTTCCTCGATTTTACATGTGGAAGCTGCAAAGGGGCTGTTGGAGGGATGGCGACACCAATACCTACGTATAACGTAGGCACGTGCGTTACGAGGGCTGCGTGTGCCCCGCGTGTCGGTGCCGGCGTGCGGCTCTTCCTCTCCTTTCTCTTACATGCACCAACACACATGCTGCTTGCAGAGCCTGCGTTGGGAACATGCAATATCTGTATGTTAAAACACCTTTTGTCTGCACCCGTGTAGGTCAGGCTGCTGGATTTTACAAAGTAGGTCTGGCTGGTGGAAAACACACACCCGTGAGAGCGCGTGCAGTGCTTTGAGCGTGGAATTCATGTACATAAATAATACACCCAGCAATAAAGCGCCGTATCTGCTTCTCCTCGTAGTACCACAAGAGTTTTGCAGTGTATTCTTGCAGCCTCTTCGTTTAATCTGAGCACCGAATCGTTCAGTCGAGCCAGATTTGTCCTCGTGCAGAGGCAGAGGCAGAGGCAGTGCTGGCTCTCCGAGTTGTGCCTGCTACAGCTGCAAACCCCCTTCCCTGTAACCGCTGAATCCATCTCCCTGCTGCCGTGCTAGTAGCTGTGTTGCATGGGTTTAGCTGGGGGACGGAGGGTGTGAGCAGGGTGTAATATTCATGAAGAGGGGACTCGGTGCCTGTTCCCCGAGAGCTCTAATAATTCTCCTTTTGTTTCTCAAACTGCAGCCGAACCTCTTGAAGCCATTCTCACTGATGACGAACCTGAACATGGCACATTGGGAGCTCCGGAAGGGGACCACGACCTCCTCACTTGTGGCCAGTGTCAGATGAACTTTCCGTTGGGGGACATTCTTATTTTTATTGAGCACAAACGGAAACAATGCAATGGCAGTCTCTGCTTAGAGAAGGCTGTGGATAAGCCACCTTCACCCTCACCAAGTGAGCTGAAAAAAGCATCCAATCCCGTGGAGGTTGGCATCCAGGTTACGCCAGAGGATGACGATTGTTTATCAACGTCATCTAGAGGAATTTGCCCTAAACAGGAACATATAGCAGGTAAATTAAAGCAAGGAGAAGTGTTTGCGAGTTCGTTTCCGTTTCAGTTGCCAACGTAGCGTGTTTGCAGTTGTAAACTGCCGGTGTCTGTCTCTCTGTTCTGATCGACGTGTTAAATACCCTGCCTTTGGGTTAGTGGGGAGCTGGTATTCCCTAGTGCCTGCACAGAGGCAGGAGCAACAGGCACGTGCCGTGCCAGCCGGTGGTTCTAGTGGCATTGTCTGAGGCTGCTCTCGTGATTTGCCTGTATTGTAGTCACCGTGTCCCGGTGTCTCGCCTGCCGGGAAGGAGGTTTCGGAGCCGGCTGTGCCATCCAGCGGGGAGCTTCCGAGCCTTTGGCAAAGTCAGGGGTTGAAAGAGTTAACCGAGCATCAGCCAGCCTTGGTTCCATATTGGCTGTCAGCAGCGTATGGACTGTAATTAAACACAGCCCCATGGCAAAGTGACACCACCGACCTTGACTTTAAGATGCCATTTTCGACTGGCCAGGCCAGAGTAGAGAGGGCAGTTGCTGAAGCGCACAGACATGCTTATTCGAAAAGTTTAAGGGCATGTTGGATATTTCAAAAGGTTGGTTTGACAGGAAAGGCTGCTCTCTGCAGCCTGCCTCCTCAGCCAGATGATAAATGCTTCGCCGTGCTCTCCCTTGTCTCTGATGTGGTTTTGACAGATGTATCTTGATTTTGTTTGCGGTTTACACAACCACATGTCAGCCCTACAAATGTCCGAGGCAGAGTTCTGGTTTGTGCAACAGAACGATGTGAAATGTAATTTAAAAAATAACAACAACAACAACAAAAAGAAGGATAAATAATTCAATTTCTTAGCGTGATTTTTATGCCTTTTCTTTAAACCGGGGAGCCCTTTCGCCGTGCAGGTATTTTCACATGTGAGGTTAAAAAACCCAGAGCGTTCTACGTGAAAGACAACCCCAGAGCCCTGGGAGTGTAACAGGACACGCTCTGCTTTGAAAACCCTGCTAGTAAACAACAGTCCTGCCCGTTCGCAGCGAGCGTTGCAAATCACTTCAGACCGCGCCAGTACTACTGGGTGAAAGAGGCGAGACCGCAGCGCATCCACACCAACAAACACCCCAACCACTCTCAAACTCCCCTTCCCAGTCATGTCCGGGATGTGGCACGGCCGGTCCCTGTCTTTGGGGAGCCCACAGGACCGCTGAGGGTTGTACATCATCAGCACATGATGTGCTGGAGCTTGTCTTGGGCTTGCTTTGGCCACAGAGTTAAACCATAATTGGGCAGTAGGCGAGGGGAGGTTTCGGTGTGATGCTCCCGCAGCCTCACTGGCCTCTGAACCGAGCATCAAAACCATGTTGGAGGGATGCAGTTCTGAAGGTTTTGTGGTGGCAGCAGAGATGTCCCAGTGTGCACGCGTGTCTGTGCACGTGTGTGTGTGCAAAGCCGTGTGCGCGCACACGCGTGCATCATGTGAATGAGTATGTACTAATCCTGCAGGGCGATAGGTACTGCTTTAAATACATGTTTAAGAGGAAACAGAAGCTCAGCTACTGCTGAGCTACATTTTGAATGAGACTTAAAAAACCCCCCCAGGAATTCCTCCTATTGCCCATCCCAGCCAGATCTGACGGAAGGCGAGAGCCGAGGCGTAGGGCATGATTAATGAAGCGGGATCCTGGTGGAAGGGATTTGTAGTCTTCCGAGCTCTGGAGCCATACTAAATCACCAAATATGGAGGAGCAGCAGCGTGATGTAACGCTGTATTTACGTACGGCGCCGCTCTGCTGAACAGACAAAACACAGTGTCTGTCAAGCAGGAATTAAACACGCTCTCCTCCCGTGGTCCCCGAGAGGTCCCTTGGCCACAGGGATGGGAAACTCTGTTGCTCTGGCGCAGTTTGGCACGGGAGGCTCGGCCAAAGCACCCTTTGGAGATGTGCGGGTGATGTGAAGCGAGAAGGGTTTGATGGCATGGGTGGTGTTAGTTCAGAAGAGGCTGTGGTTTTAACGGACTTTAATGGTTCGGTGAGCAGTGGGTATGGAGAGGTGCACATCGGCCTCATCCTGCTCGCTCTTGCACGTCGGGATCGCCTTTGCTCTGCAGGTGATGTGCAGGAGGGTCCGTGGTGCAAACCACGAGTGCTGTTGTGAGTAGAGATGGAGCTGCATTGTCCAGGCATCTCCCACCCGGAGTTTTCTGCGCGGTGGCGCCCAACGTGCCCATGGATGGGAGGTCCAAGGGTGCAGGTCTTCTGCACCTCCCTGCGTGGGATGGAGCTGATGGGCACTGGGGTCCTTCCGGTTGTTCCCAGAGGTGGGATGTGCAGTGGGAAGGAACACTGGGAGTTACGTGGTATTGCACTGTCCCTCTCCTTCCTGTTTTCATCTCCCTTTTCACTTGGATGAATTGAGCTCACCAAGAAGCATGGCGATAGCTGGAGTGATCCATTGCCTGTAGCAGGGAGTTTTGGGGGGGGTCTGGCAGTAATATTCCCAGTGAGGGTCTCGGTGTGAGCTGTGGAGTTCAGGTTTCTGGAAGGCCCCTGCACTGAACCTCAGGCTCTTCCATCTTTGGTATTTTGTATTTGATTTCTGTGCAAGAATGCAAAATGCAAAAAGATAGATAGGAGTAATTAAAACCCAGAAAAGGACAGAGGCTGCCTTCAGAAAAATACACAGGGCTTGAGGGGACTGATTCCTACTGGTAAGAGACCTGAAAATATGCATCTAGTAGCGTGGTAAAAACACCCCTAAATTAGTTGTTAGGGCAAAAGAGGTGCTGTGGGTTAGCACTGGAGACAGAGGTGCTCTGCATGCAGCTGTGTAGTCAGTAAGTTGGTGTGTCACACTAAAATACCATCTAAATACAAGCAGTGCTTAAGGATCACCTCTCCCAAAGACAAGGAAGGAGGCAGCAATGCTGTCTATTTAAACCAGCGATGGGCTGCTCTTTATCCCCACGGTTTTCCAGCGACTGGGATGAGCCGTAGAGCTTCCATGTGTACGTGTGTGTGTGTGCAACCTGTGCAGTAGCTGGGAGATCATCGACGCAGGAACGCGTCCCTGCCTCTTCCATGTGGGTGTCAGCCTGCGCGTCGCTGTAAAACCTTGAGTGATGCTGATCCAGCGCGAGAGCTGAAATGTCATAAATTGAACTGGAAATTAATAGGAGATGTGGTGTGGGTCCAGTGAGGCAGCTTTCATCAATATGTATGTCAAAGCCTCACCACCAGATACCGGCAGCCCGTGATTTGCAGGGAGTGCAACGGCAGGGCTTGAGTTACCCGCTCTCGTATTTTACAGTAGGGGGAAATATTAACTGAAGTATCTGGAGATCAGCGCGTGTAAAATTGCTGCTCACTTATTGAAAAGGCTGGAGAAATATTTATTGTCTGCCCGGTGGCAGGTTTTAGCAGTTTGTTTGTTGAACGTATAAATCCAAGGGAATTAATGAAAGGTTGTGGGGGTTTTTTTTGGGTGAGGAAGGAGCTGAAATGTTTCTTGGATGCAGTTGGAGGAACACTTTGGAGTGCTGCTGCATATTCGCCTTCATAATGCCGAGTGTGTATCCGTGGATGCCGTATTTACTGTACAAAGAGGGGAGGAGGTCATTTTTACAGCTCGAATCCTTTATTCTCCAGCTGCTTGTGGCATTCAAATAAAATACGTGGGAAAACAACATCAGAACACCCTCTGCCTGCCGTAGCCAGGGCAGGGTGGCTGTGATTTTGTGCTAGATTTTGGACATGCATTTGATTATTGCAGTTCTCAGGAGGTACTCTGAGCAGAATTTTTCGTGGGCTGTTAGCAGTTGCCATTAGAATTCTGGAGGTTGTAAATTGCGATTCCTTATCATTTGGTTTTGTTGCAGAGACAACAAATTGTTGATGTCTGCGTTGAAGAGTTAGCGTTGCATCTGAACAATAAGATGAAAGCTTAAAACAAGGCGGGGGGGGCAAAGGATTATGGCAATATTTTGGAGTAAAATTCTTCCTGCTTTCCCCATACAAAGAAACAGAGAGCACAGGCTGGGTGAAACACTCGCAGGCAGGAGGAATAGGGTGGGTGCTGAGATTCGGAGCCCCGTGTACAGGCTGTATTTGTAAATAAGGCAGAGAAAGGTTGTGAACTGGCAGCTCGGCTGTTTTGTCGCAGTACAATGTCAGAGCAACTCTTTCTAAGACAAATTGTAAATAGAAGTGTCACGATGATTGCATGATTGAGCTCTCGAAGTGTCTTGCAATTGTTGGCATTGTCAGAAGACTTTTGAAAGCTTAATTAAAGGCAGTGGCCTGCGCCGCGGTGAATTTCACTTCTCCGGGAGGGGAAAAGTGTGAAAGATGTAGGGGATCCCAAAGTTGCTCCGATGCTGCTCGTGTGGGGACACGGGGAGAAGTCAGTGGCGTCTCTTTGCCTTTTATAAATAGCATTTTTTGGAGGAGCAAGCACGTGACACTAATACCATCCTCTGTACGAGGTAGAGATTGTGTTAGTTTTCCTGTTCCTTGCTGCTGCAGCCAGTTAGTCTAAAAATGCCTCCTTATTGGAAACACAAATACGAGTTCACTCGAAGCGCAGCACCAGGGTAGAAAGTTTGCCTCTGCTCTCAGGGAGCATCAGAGCACTGCGGTGCCCTGAATATTCCTGCTTTATTTTGTTTCTTCCAAATCGGATCTCCTGGTTTAGAGGATGAGCAATCTGCTTTGCATTCTTTCTCCTGTTGTACGGGACGTTTAATTGTGGAGCTCACCATGGGCAGAAGCATCGCTGCATCTAAAATGCTTGTGGTTGAAGAGGCGTCCCGGCACGTGTTAAGCTTCGTATTGATCTCCAAAGGGGCACGTTAGCATCACGTGCTGAAAGCTTTGCAAAGAGACGTAAGGCTGTAAGGCTCCATACAGCAAGACCCCACAACCAGTGCTGGGTGATGGAAACTGAGGCAGGGAGTAAATGAAGCACCTTCTAATTAGCCCGGTGGGAGAAATAAAGTCTTCCCTAAACATTCCCATCATTTGGTAATGC